ATGTACAACGAGCAGAGACCACCAATTCGACTAAAAAGAGCGTTCTCAGTTAGCACAAGATGCTCATTCTTTATGACGGTATCATTGCTCTTCCTTCTTATTACCAGATAGGCAAACCTGTCATCAAACACAAATGCACCACTGCCGAGGGATCCGGGCTGTTTATTATCCGCGGGGAAATCGGTGAGGTTCTTCGTCTGGAGAAAGTGATGAATCAGACGGGCCTGATCTGACGTCAGCGAACCGTTAAGTGCGGAATCAAACAGGCTGGATGTTTTCTGACTCCAGTAGAGTTGCCAACTGGTAGGTCTCCACCGCGCCACAGACACCTGCGTCTCGTAGTCGGTGACAACACAACGTCGTAGGCAGATCTTCTCCTCCTCAATCTCTTTACGAAGTGCGGCTGCGTTGCCAATAATCGAGCTGGCACACTGTCGCCGCTGAATTATCAATTCCTCATCCAGCAGACCGTCTGTCCCAGTAAATAGCTGGCCACAGTACGGTAGGGTTGCATTGGGTGAGTAGATTCGCGGATAGTAGGCATACAGACATCCACAGCGCTGCACAACCAAATTCTGTATGTAACTACTAAGACACATCTCGAACTGGTAATCGTATTTCTCATCAAGATCGGTAAACTGCTGGCTTGGATTTGTAAAACACGGTTTGTTTGGCCGGTTATAGTGCAGCATCTGCACGGTCTGAAAGGTAACTTCATTCATGCGCCCTGGTGCCACCTGGATCCCGTCCCGCTCCAGATTTCCCCGCTGACCCGGCTCATGAATGACCACACGAAGTCCATTTGCCTGCTCAAACAGATCAAAGAGGAAGGCTTGCCGATCTTCCTTGCCATAGTTCTCGTCGGGCCCCAACCACAGAATCAGGCCCAGTTCATTGATGTGCTCGGAGGCATGCTTCATGATTTCTACACTGTAACAATTAAAGTACTTAGGATCCGACTGTTGGCGAATCTTCAGCATGGGATCCACACAGCCGGGCCCCGTGAGCATCCAATTGCTGCCATATCGCAGCAGACAGAGTGCCAGAGCGTCATTTGAATTGTGCCCCAGGGCCTTGTGTTGCGGCCATTGCAGACTCTGGTAGTAGATGGGCAGGGTGTCGTAGATTAGACCTTGTACAAGTGCCTCCTGAATGAGGGAGACATTGAGAAGCTGGATGTGCGCGGAGGCATCCTCCGGAATGCTGATAGCTTTTTGCAGAATGCCGGAGGCACGCTCTCGCAGAATCTGGTTAAAGCGTGTCGGAGACATTACCGTCTGCTGGCGCCAGAGTTCGTGCGCCTTAGAGGAAAAGGGTTGATGATTGCAAAAGGTGACGGCTGGAAAGGCTGCTGGCGCATCCATACTGATGTAGGTTTGAATATTTACTGAGTATTCCATGTATTCGTGGACAAGTTTCATGATGGAGTAGTGGAGAAACAGGGTGGTTAGACAGACATACGCCGTCCATAGCACTCGCAGAGTCGCGTTTTCCGATTTTACAATGCGATTGCATCCGCGGATGGAGGTGGATTCAAGGAAGCGGAAGGCGTGCACCTTGAGGTCTCTCAGGCGATTTCTACAGCAGTTGCAGCTATGTGATCGGCGTCGCAGCTCACCTTCTGTCATTCAGTTAGTTCTAGGTCTGGAAGTATGGATGTTCAACCCTGTGCAAAAAAGGATATTTACTGCAGAAAATATGCAAATTATTACAAAAAAATGTAGAGTGATTGAAGAAAGACCCTAATTTTCTTCGTCAAAATTAATTAGCCTATTTTAAGGGAGTCATCCGTACTGTCCTACTAAGAAACAAACATCTTCCGTGGGCACTGTAGTATAAACCTCGTATATATTTACTGAGTACAGAACTGTATTGACCAGTTTTATTTCGACCTGGAGCTAACTATTGAAAATGACCATTTGGATAGACTAGGAGGAGAATTAATACTATTAAACTGTATGCATTAGGAGGTGAAATATCAGCATACAAGGAGTGACTGGGCATAGAATATGTTATATCAACATTGTCGAGAATGAAGCCTTTTTTGCTGGATCGGTAAAAAATACTCTCAGTAGGAATAACCCAAACCACAGGTACACTGGTATCTATAATAATATGAAAATGGCAGGCTAATAGGTCTTTATCTACTCAAATTAAGCCATATCGTAGTAAGCAGAGCTGGCGTGTAGTATAAGAAAACTGTTTTATTATACTTATACATAATAACTATTGACAAGCTCATGGAAATTATTTACGCCAATAGCCTTCTCCATGGTTCAGTTCACTTGCAGAATGCCATTTTAATTCCAACAAACTTTGCTTTATACAGTATTTGCTAAAAATTGTGCAAATTTCATCACGAAATTTGACGTGGTTTTTACGCATATATTTGGTCACATTATTTTGATTTAATAAGTGGATTTTATTCTGGGAAAGCATTTTGTTTAGGAAATTCGCCATTTTAGCTAGGTTTATTACGAGAAATGGGCATTAGTTTTGGCGGAACTGCGAGTAGTCCCAAATCAAAAGATTTTTTTATGCTATCACGTATGACAGAACCAAACTGCTTATTAATGTGCCTTATGCTATGGAGGACCTCCAACAAAAGTGAAAAGGTATGAAAATATCTCTCCTGAACCGGAAAATGTTGTCCAAAATTGTTCAGATGGAAGTGAGTTTGGGTCGGAGGAATCACATTGATTTTCGGAAACAAGGAACAATTCCACTTTTACTAACTATTTTTTGCTATTCTGTGAAGTTTGTGCCTCAAAATGCAGCATTGAAGTTTTATGGCAAAGTTGTTTCACCCTATTGAAAGCTTTAAGCGTAAGCTTGATAAAGAAACGGGAACGCGTGACATACTTTCATTTTTTCGTGTTAGGCTGTGCCATGAAGATTTCAAGTCATTTTGTATGTGAAACTGATTTTTCCGCTTACGAAAGCTGGCAACCGCAGGGCTGCCGCGCAGTTCGTTAGTTAATACGTTTGGTATAAGCAAGGCCACCGTATCCAGAATTACGGACTATAAAACAATGCCCAGAAGGAAAAATCTTGGAGGAAAACGGTTTATAACAAAACTACTAAAATGTCATTATATGTCCGTTAGGGCTATTCACAGGGAACATTTGCCAATGTTCCCTCAGACCCTAGTTAGAAACAGATAGCGGGAATTTTGCCTTCGTCAGTAGATGGCTACGATTAAGTCATTGCCAATAGAATTGAATATGCGAGTTCCAAGAAGCAGTTCAGAAGAAGAAGAATAAGCGATTACTGGAACATGAGGTTTAATGTCCTGACATTTCGGATCCCCTCGGAACTCCTTAATCACAGGGTATAGTAGAACAGTCTGAGACATGCGCAGACAAGGGTGATAAGTCCCAGATTACACGGTATTTATAGTTCTTAGTGGTCACTCGCATGCGTACTATAGTTGTTAGTTCAGTCCGCATGCGGGTGACCGCTACGAACTACAAATACCGTGTTATTTGTGGATGTATCACTCTTATCTGCGCATATCTCAGACTGTTCTACTATTACCTATGATTAAGGATTCCCGAGGGAGTCCGAAACATCAGGACAATAAACCTCTTGTTCCAGTGATCGCTTATTATTCTTCTGAATAAATCATTTTTAAGTAGGAAACTTATTAAGAAACCTTCCCTCTTTGCTCAGGAATACGTGAGTCACAGACCTTCATTTTAGTAAAGCATTTATTTTGTGACAAGGTGCTCTTCTGAGACAAGTCGACAAAATCGGCACATGTGGTCATGTGAAGAAAGAAGGGTCCTAAAGAACGCACCACTTCGACATCAACTCTCGAGAATTATCGGCGCCGCATGGTGTGGATGGCGATCGAGTTCGGTTAACTACCAATCTAGCGGACTTCAAAAAATATCATTAATAATCACGTCTATTTCAGTATTGTCAAAATGTATTTGGTTATAATCGCATGTAGAGGCGTCAAATGGATGTTGTCATGCTACAAGACAATGCTCCTGCTCACCGATCAAAGGAGGTACGATTAAAATTTACCTTACGACTGCAATCTAGTTTTATTTTTAAACTACAGCCAATGTTTCCACCTGCGGCGTGCGAACAATTTTTATCTCGCCAAATACTCCCGATCTCAATGCAATTGGACATCTCTTCGCCTTGATCAAGCGAAACTTGCTCAAACTTTCAAAATATATTTCAATGTAAAAGGAAATTGGAGTTCGTTCCTAATAATTATATAGACCAAATCAAAATTGGCAACATTGTTGTCTCTATGTTTTCCCGAATTACTACGCTTATAAACGCTCAAGGACACTGAACAAAATATGATTATGTTACATATTTATTACGTTTTCTAATTTTGTCGCTTTATCTTATTTAGTTCCGCTTTTGTCGTTTATATAACGACTTTTATCCCTGAATTGTCCTACAGCCATCTTTTTGATTTGACAGTTTTCGGTAAAACATATTAGTTTTAGATGATAAATTATACTTTATACATTGAAATACGCCTCTTATAATGATACATTCTCCTTTTAGACGTTATAAATTGTGGGACCGTTTGGTAAACACTTTGCGAGGTACAAGGATTTTCATGCAGGCTTGACGATGTTGCGCGATTTTCGGCGCATACTCTACAGATTTTGTTAAAATAGCCTCGCAGCTCCTATTCATGTTCCCTTTACTACACTATGAGAGAAGCCGTATCTGCATTTTGTGTAAACATGTCCTCAATTTCTGTTGTTACACTTTTTAAATGAGTTTAAATAGAATCTAGATACAAAATTTGGCTGTGAATTGCCTGTTAGGTGGAACGCATAAGCAAGCTGCTGCTGTTGCCGCTGCAACTGCTGGTTAAAGTTATACTGGGAATGAATGTCCATTTTATTCATCAGGGATTTGATGGAAAAGTTACGTTTTGCAAGAGCTTGCGGAGCGCTGAGCAAACGTACCGATCCTCATAATGTTTAGCGCAGTATATTTTTACACTGTGTTTCAAAACGCTTACTCCTAAGTCTTTCTTTAATTATATATGCGTTGACCTTTCCTTTAGATGTTTGTGCCTTTGAACTTTTTATATTCTCTTTATTAAAACCCGAGTAGGCGTTATTTTGGGGATTCACAGTTTTGGTCAAGCAACATCGAAAAACCCATCCTTGGAACCAAGTAAATCCTGAAAACTGTTGTCGCCTATGTACTGCATAAACAAATCTTAATGACTTCGGACCTCTTAGAAATGGGAAACTGACTTGTTGAATTTATCTTTTATATTTGTTCCTGTTGGTTGGCGTTCACGTAATATAGTAAAAGAGACTGTATTTCTCCATCAAAATCAGAAGCATATACCAGGAAGGTCTTATTTGTTTCGGTTATTTGAGACAGTGTGTCGTACAACGTAATTTTATACAAAACGTCAGTAAAGAAATGCATCAAGTGAACGCAAAACAAATTTGTCTGTTCACTGAAGATATATAATTTAAAAAGTTTCCACTTTTTATTAATGTTCTTTTGTAGTATAACACTTAACAACAAGGAGTATTTT